TGTGAATCCGTTCAACGGTCCATTTAAAGAAATTAATTCCTAACTCTGACTCAGTGATTCATTTGGATTACCACTCAAGTATTCTCTGTGTGACAGCTAGCCCTCACATTCTCACAAAAAGAACACTATATTGTGTGTAAAACATATAGTTTTAATGAAAACATGGTTTTATGAAGGCTGATGTCTTCTGTATTTCAACACTATATAGAACGGGCGGTGAGGCATGTTATCGCCAGCTTAAACAACATGTCATGGCTCCATGAAGGGTCAAAAAAGAAACACAGCAACTACAATGTAAAACAGAGGAGAAATGTATGTTACGGTACAGCAGGAGATTTCAGGGCTGTGTGGAAAATATGAAAGGAGACGCAAGGATGGAAATGTTTCTAGCAGAAAGTAAACTTCCATTGCTCTCTGCTGGGGTCAAAAAGAGGCCATTTCCACCATAAACACACACATCAGCACTCACACACACTTTGTGCCATCTATTCCTAGAATAACACGCAGATCCATTAAACACAATAAATACACAATAACCAAATATAGACATACACAATCACAACCGATTATTGTGAATACAAACAAACTCGGTTGCTTCTGCATAAAACACACACTCACATACATACTGAGATACTGAAGTCCACACACACAGAGAGAGAGAGAGTCTTGTGTGTCTTCACACTGTAGCTGGTCTGTCGGATCATTTAGCTCTTTTATGAGAAGAGGCAGAGTTTTGGCTAACACAGCATCCCATGATTTGCAGCTTTCTGGCGCATTCCCAAGATCTCAGTTTACATATCATAATAATCTCAAACCTACAGCACCCAGTATAGCCTTCCCTTACAGCTTGTGTCTTTATATAATAATAAACAATATAGTCATAAATGTGACCATTTCTCACTATGGAGCAAAAACTCTATTGTGTAAAATGAGAAAAAGTTCAACTCATTTTACTGTAAGTAAATGAGTATATGGACTATTATGTCACACAGTACAGTATATGGACAGTAAATACCTGTCTATAATATAATATAATAGGTTTGTTGAAGGCATGTTTTCAGATTAAAATATAAAAATTAAAATAGCTTAATATAAAAACCCAATTTTTAGATTAAAAAATGTTAAGTGATTTATGTGATTACAAAGTAAGTAAAATTACTTTAAAATGTGATTTTACAAAATCCAGGTTTGCTGTGCTTGTTTTCAGGGCTGCACAATTTGGTCAGATTTTTGTGATTATATATCAATATGGCTATAAAATAATAGTAATAATAATCATCTCGTTGTCATTATCATCATCAGTATTATTATTAATGTTAAAAATAATCATAATTATTATTATTATTACTACTACTACTACTACTAAATATAAAAATTAGTAAATGAAAACAAAAAAAATTACTATTGTAGTATTTCACTGTAAACTTCAAAAAAAATCAAGTGTTAAAGAATAAATAAATTATAATAAATTATAATTTTTTGATTTGCATTACTGTAAAATTACAAAACTAATATTTATCCCATAATATATCTTAATTTCTTTCTTTTCAAACATTAAACCATACAAACAAAATCTATATTTTGTGGAAAACCGCAAGTAGCCCTAAAGCTTCTCTTTTGTTGATACGCATGCTGAATGCATGATTTAAGATTTAATAATTAAAATGAATTGAAACAGCTTGATGTTGGCACCAAGTGTTACAGTGATACATCTTCCATCAAGCTGGCAATGAGCACTGCAGCCCATAAAACACATAGAACAGATGCACTAAACACACACATACATTTCCCTCATCAGTAACAGTAATATGACTCGTGACATGCTGAAGCTGGCTCCGTCTTGATGAGTATCAGTGTTAATTATCAGTGACCGATATAGGCCGCAGCTGCACAGAAGCTTTCTCCTATTACACACCGGCTTCCCCAGAGTCATTCAGCGCTTCGAATCAGAGGAGAGCCAGCTGACAGATTGAGACAGGGATTCACTGTACCTTTCCACTGCCACACATATAGGTTTTGTCCTTGTTCTCTCTCTCCTCCACCTATTTTGTTGCCTTATACGTCTCTTACACAGTGCAGGCTTTTTCTTATTGTTTTATTTTCATTTGTTTCCCTCACTTTATGTGATGTATTAAGCTTATAGTGCTGAAGGCTTGGGGAAATAGAAAAGGAGTGGGAAGAGAGGCTGTAGACGGCTCGTTTTGCCCTACATGGTATGGAATGTCAGGATACCTCTCACACTCTTCAGGGGTTCATTAAGGGCAGATAGCAAGATCGCTTCACTAAACTCAGCTCTGAGCCTTACCATCTGTATACATAAACAGAGGAAAACATTTATCCTGATAAAAATGTATAATGGGGATAAAATGTGAGAATTTAAGGATAATATAAGATCTTCTACTGGGCCAAAGATTTTTATACTATATAGCAGGGATCCTCAAATCTGGCCCACGAGATCCACTTTCCTGCAGAGTTTAGCTCTAACCCTAATCAAACACACCTGAGCATGCTAATCAATGTCTTCAGGAACATTAGAAAATCACAGGTAGGTGAGTTTGATCAGGGTTGGAGCTAAACTCTGCAGCGCATTGGCCCTCCAGGGCAAGATTTGAGGAACCCTGCTATATAGACTACAAAGAACTATGCTGCAGTGTCATCTAGTGGTGTGAAAGTGCAATAACGATAATTTATTTATTTATTTTTTGAGAAAGGAAATACCAAATTGTCAAGGTTATTATTGACCTTCTTGGGAAATACTAAGAAAATTAGGAGATGGTCTCATTCATTTATTTTTTTTTTTGTAAAATTTAAGAGAGACAAACACACTGAATACCAAAGTCTGTGTACTGGTGGTCAGTTTTGCGGTTGTCACTCAGCATCATGCAAAAGTTTCATTCACTGATCCCACTGTAGAAGTTCCCTTTCAGTCGGTCACTCTCGACGTCATGTCGGATGACCGACGAATTGGGATCTCGCTTAGAGGGACCAATCTACTTCGAGTGTAAACTAAACGAGCCAATGCACATTGGCATGCGATTATTGCATCCAGCTGCTGCTGATCACAGCGGGCTTGCAGTGTCAGGGGTTTGGACGGGGCCCCAACTGCACTGGCACATCAACTGCCTCGAGTTGCTGGCAGTGCAACTTGCCCTGGGCCGTCTCAAAGGGCGCTTACGAGGCAAGCATGTCCTGGTCCGCACGTACAACACAGCGACCGTTGCGTACATCAACCGACAAGGTGGTCTGCGCTCCCGTCGCATGTCGCAACTCGC